GTGTGTGTGTGTGTGTGTGTGTGTGTTTTTGGTACCGGGGATTGAACTTAGGCCCTTGCATTTGCGAGGTAGGCAGTGGAACCACTGAGGCAAATCCCCAGCTTAACTTGTGCATATCTTGTTTATCCAACTATATCTACAAACATCAGATTATAAGAATGTCTCTCTAAAGCTTCCACACTGATGGCTTCTTCAATATAAACCTTGGTCTTCATCCAAATCTAACATTCTGATAGCATTTGTCTTGAGAGAACATGCAAGTACAGGTTGACACCATGCCATAACTCTCTGATTTATAAATATACTATTTTTGTTCTTTTGCATTATTATTGAAATATTCAAAACTTGATGAGATGAAAGACTATATTTATTCATTATACTTTAAATAGTATTTGTAAACAAAGAATTTTTAGAATTTTATTTCTTCAATTAAAAGATATCTTTGGATTATTCAGCATCATTTAAATGTACTCTTAGGAGATGACTTATCTGATCACACCACTAAATTCATTCTTTTCACCTATTTTCTGTATTTCTTTTCTTTATACTCTTATTCAATATGCATTATTTGCTTTGCTTTTTTTTTTTGCAGAAACTAAGCTCATTGAGGTCAGGTAAATTCATGTCCTCAAGATTTAATGGAATTCCTGGCATATAATTGATATTCAATAGATATGGATCCAGTGAATGTTCTAACACACAAACATAAATGAACAAAAATTTAAACCATACTTCATGTTTGGTCTGTACTATTGTAAGCCAGGTATGTCTGAAGTCTGTTTTTCTCTTTTCTCCTACATAAATAGCAGTATCAATTTTAGCTGTTTTGTCTAGAATTTTTTCCACAGGATATAGATTACAAATTTTTCGTTTAGCTTGTAGGTAAGTGCCCTTTTAAAAAATATTTCTTATAGATAATGGATAGCAAAAACTATAAACCATGTGTTTAGAATGTTGATTCTATAAACCATGTTTATAGAATTTTGCCACATTCTCTTCTCTTTTCTGGCTTGTTAATTAGTAGAATAATTTGAAATGGTAGGTTACCTTCAAAGATCATCTATACACCCACTGG